ATTGGAGGTATGGACGGGAAGAGGACTGTGTGAGGATCGTGAGAAGGTGATATAGGGTGTGTTGTGTGATTGTTGGTGTGTGTAATTCGTATTATCGAGGTGAAGAAAATGCGGTCGGCTTGCTCTTTCGTAAGAGCCCCTATAGCTCAGTGGTAGAGCACCCGCTTAGTAAGCGGAAGGTCGGTAGTTCAATCCTGCCTGGGGGCAAATTCCTTGCAATCGTTTCACATCCGATATCTCTCCGTGTCGGTCGTGAGCGTGCCATGCTTCGCGGCGGCTTTGCTCTTTTGCCCCTTTGCCACATTGCCCTTGTGCACGCACATGCACACATTGCTCATTCAGCGCAGCACTGCTAATTCTGCGCAACACTGCTCATTCGGCGCAGGATACTGTTGGTAACGCTCACCATTTGCCGTACTGTTCCCTGCTGAGTCAAACACATTTCCCACTCAGTTGCCCTCGTAGCTTTCCACGAAGACATACGTCGCCGCTTTGCGGTGACGGATTGCGCCGACTCGTGAGTTTCTCCAGGTGCTAATGCCATCCCCGATTGAGGAGCTTGCTGTCGAGCGGCACGGTCGGTCGGAGGCCATGATCGCGACGAGGTGTGAATTGGAAGGTATGGACGGGAAGAGGACCGTGTGAGGATGTGAGAAAGTGATGTAGGGTGTGTTGTGTGATTGTTGGTGTGTGTAATTCGTATTATCGAGGTGAAGAAAATGCGGTCGGCTTGCTCTTTCGTAAGAGCCCCTATAGCTCAGTGGTAGAGCACCCGCTTAGTATGCGGAAGGTCGGTAGTTCAATCCTGCCTGGGGGCAAATTCCTTGCAATCGTTTCACATCCGATACCTCTCCGTGTCGGTCGTGAGCGAGCCGTGCTTCGCGGCGTCTTTGCTCTTTTGCCCCTTTGCCACATTGCCCTTGTGCACGCACATGCACACATTGCTCATTCAGCGCAGCACTGCTAATTCAGCGCAACACTGCTCATTCGGCGCAGGATACTACTAATTACGCTCACCATTTGTCGCACTGTTCCCCGCTGAGTCAAACACATTTCCAACTCAGTTGCCCTCGTAGCTTTCCACGAAGACATACGTCGCCGCTTTGTGGTGTCGGATTGGTCTGACTCGTGAGTTTCTCCAGGTGCTAATGCCATCCCGGATTCGAGCTTGCTGTCGAGCGGCACGGTCGGTCGGAGGCCATGATCGCGACGAGGTGTGAATTGGAAGGTATGGACGGGAAGAGGACCGTGTGAGGATGTGAAAAGGTGATGTAGGGTGTGTTGTGTGATTGTTGGTGTGTGTAATTCGTATTATCGAGGTGAAGAAAATGCGGTCGGCTTGCTCTTTCGTAAGAGCCCCTATAGCTCAGTGGTAGAGCACCCGCTTAGTAAGCGGAAGGTCGGTAGTTCAATCCTGCCTGGGGGCAAATTTCTTGCAATCGTTTCACATCCGATACCTCTCCGTGTCGGTCGTGAGCGAGCCGTGCTTCGCGGCGTCTTTGCTCTTTTGCCCCTTTGCCACATTGCCCTTGTGCACGCACATTCACACATTGCTCATTCAGCGCAGCACTGCTAATTCAGCGCAACACTGCTCATTCGGCGCAGGATACTGTTGGTAACGCTCATCATTTGCTGTACTGTTCCCCGCTGAGTCAAACACATTTCCAACTCAGTTGCCCTCGTAGCTTTCCTCGAAGACATACGTCGCCGCTTTGTGGTGTCGGATTGGTCTGACTCGTGAGTTTCTCCAGGTGCTAATGCCATCCCGGATTCGAGCTTGCTGTCGAGCGGCACGGTCGGTCGGCGGCCATGATCGCGACGAGGTGTGAATTGGAAGGTATGGACGGGAAGAGGACCGTGTGAGGATGTGAAAAGGTGATGTAGGGTGTGTTGTGTGATTGTTGGTGTGTGTAATTCGTATTATTGAGGTGAAGAAAATGCGGTCGGCTTGCTCTTTCGTAAGAGCCTATATAGCTCAGTGGTAGAGCTAAGTAAGCGGAAGGTCGGTAGTTCAATCCTGCCTGGGGGCAAATTCCTTGCAATCGTTTCACATCCGATACCACTCCGTGTCGGTCGTGAGCGAGCCGTGCTTCGCGGCGTCTTTGCTCTTTTGCCCCTTTGCCACATTGCCCTTGTGCACGCACATTCACACATTGCTCATTCAGCGCAGCACTGCTAATTCAGCGCAACACTGCTCATTCGGCGCACGATACTGCTGGTAACGCTCATCATTTGCCGTACTGTTCCCCGCTGAGTCAAACACATTTCCAACTCAGTTGCCCTCGTAGCTTTCCACGAAGACATACGTCGCCGCTTTGTGGTGTCGGATTGGTCTGACTCGTGAGTTTCTCCAGGTGCTAATGCCATCCCGGATTGACGAGCTTGCTGTCGAGCGGCACGGTCGGTCGGAGGCCATGATCGCGACAAGGTGTGAATTGGAAGGTATGGACGGGAAGAGGACCGTGTGAGGACGTAAGAAGGTGATGTAGGGTGTGGTGTGTGAATGTTGGTGTGTGTAATTCGTATTATCGAGGTGAAGAAAATGCGGTCGGCTTGCTCATTCGTAAGAGCCCCTATAGCTCAGTGGTAGAGCACCCGCTTAGTAAGCGGAAGGTCGGTAGTTCAATCCTGCCTGGGGGCAAATTCCTTGCAATCGTTTCACATCCGATACCTCTCCGTGTCGGTCGTGAGCGAGCCGTGCTTCGCGGCGTCTCTGCTCTTTTGCCCCTTTGCCACATTGCCCTTGTGCACGCACATTCACACATTGCTCATTCAGCGCAGCACTGCTAATTCAGCGCAACACTGCTCATTCGGCGCAGGATACTGTTGGTAACGCTCATCATTTGCCGTACTGTTCCCCGCTGAGTCAAACACATTTCCAACTCAGTTGCCCTCGTAGCTTTCCACGAAGACATACGTCGCCGCTTTGTGGTGTCGGATTGGTCTGACTCGTGAGTTTCTCCAGGTGCTAATGCCATCCCGGATTCAAGCTTGCTGTCGAGCGGCACGGTCGGTCGGAGGCCATGATCGCGACGAGGTGTGAATTGGAAGGTATGGACGGAAAGAGGCCCGTGTGAGGATGTAAAAAGGTGATATAGGGTGTGTTGTGTGATTGTTGGTGTGTGTAATTCGTATTATCGAGGTGCAGAAAATGCGGTCGGCTTGCTCTTTCGTAAGAGCCCCTATAGCTCAGTGGTAGAGCACCCGCTTAGTAAGCGGAAGGTCGGTAGTTCAATCCTGCCTGGGGGCAAATTCCTTGCAATCGTTTCACATCCGATACCTCTCCGTGTCGGTCGTGAGCGAGCCGTGCTTCGCGGCGTCTTTGCTCTTTTGCCCCTTTGCCACATTGCCCTTGTGCACGCACATGCACACATTGCTCATTCAGCGCAACACTGCTAATTCTGCGCAACACTGCTAATTCTGCGCAACACTGCTCATTTGGCGCAGGATACTGTTGGTAACGCTCACCATTTGCCGTACTGCTCCCCGCTGAGTCAAACACATTTCCAACTCAGTTGCCCTCGTAGCTTTCCACGAAGACATACGTCGCCGCTTTGTGGTGGTCGAATTGTTTGTGACTCGTGAGTTTTCTCAGGGGCTAAATGTCCATCCCGGATTGAGGAGCTTGCTGTCGAGCGGCACGTCGGTCGGAGGCCATGATCGCGACGAGGTGTGAATTGGAAGGTATGGACGGAAAGAGGACCGTGTGAGGATGTAAAAAGGTGATATAGGGTGTGTTGTGTGATTGTTGGTGTGTGTAATTCGTATTATCGAGGTGAAAGAAAATGCGGTCGGCTTGCTCTTTCGTAAGAGCCCCTATAGCTCAGTGGTAGAGCACCCGCTTAGTAAGCGGAAGGTCGGTAGTTCAATCCTGCCTGGGGGCAAATTCCTTGCAATCGTTTCACATCCGATACCTCTCCGTGTCGGTCGGGAGCGAGCCGTGCTTCGCGGCGTCTTTGCTCTTTTGCCTCTTTGCCACATTGCCCTTGTGCACGCACATGCACACATTGCTCATCCAGCGCCAACACTGGCTAAATTCTGGCGCAAACACTGCTCCATTCCGGCGGCAAGAGATACTGTTGGTAAACGCTCCTCATTATGTTGCAACACTGCTCACTCGGGGCAGGAAAACTATTGGTAACTCTCATCACCTCGCCAGTACTGCTCCCAGATGAGTCAAACACCATTTCTAGCTGAAGTTGCCCTCGTAGCTTTCGACGATTACCTACGTCGCCTGCTTTGTGGTGTCGGATTGGTCTGACTCGTGAAGTTTCTCCAGGTGCTAATGCCATCCCGGATCGACGAGCTTGCTGTCGAGCGGCACGGTCGGTCGGAGGCCATGATCGCGACGAGGTGTGAATTGGAAGGTATGGACGGGAAGAGGACCGTGTGAGGATGTGAAAAGGTGATGTAGGGTGTGTTGTGTGATTGTTGGATGTGTGTAATTCGTATTATCGAGGTGAAGAAAACGCGGTCGGCTTGCTCTTTCTTAAGAGCCCCTATAGCTCAGTGGTAGAGCACCCGCTTAGTAAGCGGAAGGTCGGTAGTTCAATCCTGCCTGGGGGCAAATTCCTTGCAATCGTTTCACATCCGATACCTCTCCGTGTCGGTCGTGAGCGAGCCGTGCTTCGCGGCGTCTTTGCTCTTTTGCCCCTTTGCCACATTGCCCTTGTGCACGCACATGCACACATTGCTCATTCAGCGCAACACTGCTAATTCTACGCAACACTGCTAATTCTGCGCAACACTGCTCATTTGGCGCAGGATACTGTTGGTAACGCTCACCACTTGCCGTACTGTTTCCCCGCTGAGTCAAACACATTTCCAACTCAGTTGCCCTCGTAGCTTTCCACGAAGACATACGTCGACGTCTTTGTGGTGTCGGATTGGTCTGACTCGTGAGTTTCTCCAGGTGCTAATGCCATCCCGGATTGAGGAGCTTGCTGTCGAGCGGCACGGTCGGTCGGAGGCCATGATCGCGACGAGGTGTGAATTGGAAGGTATGGACGGGAAGAGGACCGTGTGAGGATGTAAAAAGGTGATATAGGGTGTGTTGTGTGATTGTTGGTGTGTGTAATTCGTATTATCGAGGTGAAGAAAATGCGGTCGGCTTGCTCTTTCGTAAGAGCCCCTATAGCTCAGTGGTAGAGCACCCGCTTAGTAAGCGGAAGGTCGGTAGTTCAATCCTGCCTGGGGGCAAATTCCTTGCAATCGTTTCACATCCGGTACCTCTCCGTGTCGGTCGTGAGCGTGCCGTGCTTCGCGGCGTCTTTGCTCTTTTGCCCCTTTGCCACATTGCCCTTGTGCACGCACATGCACACATTGCTCATTCAGCGCAACACTGCTAATTCTGCGCAACACTGCTAATTCTGCGCAACACTGCTCATTTGGCGCAGGATACTGTTGGTAACGCTCACCATTTGCCGTACTGTTCCCCGCTGAGTCAAACACATTTCCAACTCAGTTGCCCTCGTAGCTTTCCACGAAGACATACGTCGACGCTTTGTGGTGTCGGATTGGTCTGACTCGTGCGTTTCTCCAGGTGCTAATGCCATCCCGGATTGAGGAGCTTGCTGTCGAGCGGCACGGTCGGTCGGAGGCCATGATCGCGACGAGGTGTGAATTGGAAGGTATGGACGGGAAGAGGACCGTGTGAGGATGTGAGAAGGTGATGTAGGGGTGTGTTGGGGTGATTGTTGGTGTGTGTAATTCGTATTATCGAGGTGCAGAAAATGCGGTCGGCTTGCTCTTTCGTAAGAGCCCCTATAGCTCAGTAGTAGAGCACCCGCTTAGTAAGCGGAAGGTCGGTAGTTCAATCCTGCCTGGGGGCAAATTCCTTGCAATCGTTTCACATCCGATATCTCTCCGTGTCGGTCGTGAGCGTGCCATGCTTCGCGGCGGCTTTGCTCTTTTGCCCCTTTGCCACATTGCTCTTGTGCAAACACATGCACACATTGCTCATTCAGCGCAACACTGCTAATTCTGCGCAACACTGCTCATTCGGCGCAGGATACTGTTGTTAACGCTCATCATTTGTCGTACTGTTCCCCGCTGAGTCAAACACATTTCCAACTCAGTTGCCCTCGTAGCTTTCCACTAAGACATACGTCGCCGCTTTGTGGTGTCGGATTGGTCTGACTCGGGAGTATCTCCAGGTGCTAATGCCATCCCGGATTGAGGAGCTTGCTGTCGAGCGAAACGGTCGGTCGGAGGCGATGCTCGCGACGAGATGTGATGTGCAAGGCATGGACTGAAAGAGAACCGAGTGACGATGTGAGAAGCTGATGTAGGTGTGTTGTGTGATTGATGGTTGTGTGGTATTCATATTATCGAGTTGAAGTAAATGCAGACGGGGTGGGTCATTTCGTAAAGACCGCCGCTCGTTTCAGTGGGAGGAGCTACCCGCTTCAGTAAGGAGAGGGGCCGGTAGGGTCAATTCATGGCCTGGGGGGGGAAATTCCTATGCCATTCGCTTCCAATTCCGAGTACCCTCTCCTCTTCCGTACGGGAAGCGTACCGTGCTTGGCGGAGGCTTTTGCTTCTTTTG